TTTATTTTCATATTGCTTCATTATGCACATTTCATTCAGCAATTTAATTTTCATTTCTCAATGACAAAGTACACACACATCAGTCTTGCAAGTACCATGCACAGTTTGATAGTTTTCAAAAGGCAGCACTAAGTTTCCTCTCTCTCAATAAAAAAAATTCTCACTCTGCCTGTTTTATTTTTATTCACCTTAACAATTATTGTTGAAGTAAATAAAAATAAACATTTGTTAATACAATAATTGTATCAACACATATAATATAATTATTCATATTTTTATTATTTCAAATAATGTTTCTTTTAAGAATATATTTTCACAAATTCATTGAATATCAGAATTTCAATTCACTGTAGTAAATCGATTTGTACATAATAATAACTGTAACATGTAAATAACAGTAAATCAGATATTGATGCATTTATTTACAAGTAAATTATTAATAAAAAAAAGAGTAATTATCCTGTTTATTGCTCCTTGTATGAACCAGAGAATGATGATCTAGTAAAATACAGACAAATGTAATTTTAATGTTCATGAAAATTTAAATATTAAATAAGTAGAATACTTTAATTAATTATATATATATAAATAGTTATTGAATAAATTATTAAATCCAGTAAGAAAAAATAAATGATAAATTTTAAAATTATTGATAATTAAAAATCAGAGAAGATAATATTACAGAAAAAAAAACTGAAATTATCTTTAATTTGAAATATTACATTATTTAAAACATTTTACATTATAAAAATATATTACACTTTCACAACTGTGGAAAAAAAGATTTTTGAAATGTTTAACTAATTGATAAAAATCAATAAAATTAATACATAGATTAATGTAAGTGTGAACCATACTGCTATTAATTTATCAAGTACAGTGAAACATCCATTAATGAACACTCCAAAATAACATACCTCTACATGGACATTTTTACAATCCCCATACCCTTCATATAGGACATCTATTACATTTACCTGTAATAAATAGCAGATGCTATTGTCCATAACCAACCTTATGAAAACACAATGTCCAACCTTCAATATTTTAAAACAGAAACAAAGAATAAGTTCAAATACTCTTTCAGATGATGAATTTTAACCACAGACATCAAATAAAGACTAGCTGAAGATAAGAATAGAGAAGAAGAGTTGGTTGTAAAAAGCTGAACAATATTCTTCATCTGTTAGAGAAAACTAATCTGGTTAAATTGTTAATCACCACTTATTCTCATACATGTTAATGTTATTAAACTTGTGTTATTGTTGAAATTAAGCTTATGGTACAGTACCAAGAAACCATAAACTTTTCCTGAGTTATTCATTCATTCAACAAGAATCATAGCATAGTAGTAATGAGAAAGAAACTCAAAACAATTATGACAACAGCATTTATGTGGTGAAAGTTGAAAGGTCATGTTATGAAGGTGATTTGCCAAACACTTTAAAATGTGGGAAAATATTTGGTATTCTCACATTTATGATCTTAACAGCTTTGTGGCAACTTAAGTGTAATTTCTAATAAATCATTTATTGAAAAAAAACAAAAATGTTTGAAAAATTACAACTATAAAACAAAATCACTATTTCAACTTTTATTAGTCATTAGATCATAAATGACATTATAAATGCAAGAATACCAAATACATTCCCACCCCTTGAAGTTGCTAGTAAATCGCCTTTGTAACTCAACATTTGAATTCTCACAGCCTAAAGTGATCTTTGTTCACCCTTCTGTTCATATATTTTCATATATCTTTATACTATACATCATGAATTCATTTTTGGATAAATAAAATTTTTAAGAACCAAATAAAATCAAATAATATGAAAAAAAAAAACAATAAAAAAGTAAGTAAAACAACAGTTTAACATCAAACTTCATATAACAGTCTAATGATGATATCATTTTCAAATTAATTAAATTGTATTTAATTATAAAGTTAATCTTTTATATTTTCATAAATCTCATGCTGTCAATGTTCTTATTACTTGTACTATTTTTATGATTTTACATATCCTGAAGATGAAATGAAGAGATTCAAAATATTTGACATGATTAAATATAAAAAACTTTCAATAAATCATTATTATGAAGACTTTTATAAATTCAAAATTTCCTATGGATTTATATGAAAGGTTATGTATCTTTTTTATAGCTTAAATCTTAATTCTGGTTATCGTATAAATACTGAAATTTCAAATTAACATCAATTTTAAATGTTAAATTTAGATGAATTAAGGACCACCTATAAGATACTTTTGAATAAGTGAAGTGAAAAACACAATTTCGTTTGATTTCAAAACTGAACACCAATATATTGTGTAGTTTTCAAATCAAACTAAATTACATCAAAACATTCTTAATATCTGCTAATTGTTAAATGATTTTATAACTATCTGCACAGCACTCTATTAACAATTAGAAAATTATTTTAAAAATCATAAGAATTAAAACACATGTTTATAACATATAACAATATTATGCTTGCATAGAAATACAACAATCTTTCATTGTGTGTTATAATTACTGAAATGATGTTTCCTGATAAGAACAATCAAAGTTACTATTTTTTTTTTTTTACAAATCTTTATGTATATTAAATTCAATCATTATGTTGTGATGTTAAATATTTCTGTAAATTATTCTCAACTGGTTTTGTGATATATTAAATATATACTGATGGTTTAACTATCAAAAATAATGTCTCAAGTAATTGAAAATTTTAAAGTATTTATCAATTATTATAACATTTGAAAAGGACTAAATTCAATAAATATTATTTCACTATCTTTAATTAAAGTTTTGATATCTACTTTTTAACTTCTAAAATATATAGAGAAAATTCCAATCATCAAAATTTTCAAGTAGTTCTACTCAGTGTCAACATATTAAACCCTTGAATTTGTGGAAAAGAAACAAAGTCATTGTTAATATTAATAATAAAAAGTGATATCCATTAATTCTATTACATATTCTTTCACTTATAAAATAAAATACCAACATGTTCAAATTATCAAATAAAGCATTCTAGAAGTTACATTTAGGAGTGAATTCCCTAAAGATGAACTACAGTGTGTTGAAAGTTCTTGGAACAAACAATTGAGTCATATTCTCACTCTAAAACAGCATCAATAAAGGATAATCACTTCTTCATGTTTTTAAATTAACTACAGAACTATAACTTAGGTTGAGATTGCCTGTCAGTCAAGTACTAGAACTACCTGTATCATAACATAACACAGGGAGGGGCAACCTTTTTCTATGTAAGGGCTGAATTTCAAAACTTTTGAATTGACGCAGGCCTCATACAAGAGAAAAGAGGGAAAAAAATGTTGGTAAATCACAATTATTTATTCATATATAATTATAAATTAGCATAGATATACTTAATTTAGCTTATGAAACTGATGTAAACATAATATATCGGAAATCTTTGGTTAAATTTTAGTTACTGCTATCTTTAAATTAAATTACAGTAGAGCATCGATTATCCGACTCAATTGGGGACTGGGGTTGGTCGGATAACTGAAAAAATGGATAACCAAAAATATGAAAAAATACATTATTAATATAGTATATTAGTATATCTCATGTAATTAGTATATTAGTATATCGCTATTTACCTACTTCGCGTTGAATTTTCATCGATGTTAAGCCTAACAAAAGTTTTTTTTAAATAATAATCGTCGCTATCGTATTGTTAAAAATTAGAAAATTAAGCCTCATTTAAATACTGGCTCCCTTTCATGGTCGAGCCATGTTGCCAACTAAAACATGTAAAAATACTATTAAATTAGCCAAGACATAGCCAAATATTGTAACACCACATCACTAGCAGACATTTGAATTTGCCGACTAGAACGGTTGGTTAACAGATGTGACGGTTAATCAGGGGGCGGATAATCGATGCTCTACTGTAGTTTTGATGTGTCTGTTAGCCTGTTCTTTGTTTTAATTTTTACTAAATTCACTGCAGAAAAACTATTCATATATATTAGTTGTAGAAAATAATATTTGAATTTTTGCTGCGTACTTCCTTAAGCTGGGAAATTGATATATTTATTCATATTTTACATGGGCCACAAAAGATATTACTGCGGGCCACAGGTTGCCCATCAGACATAACATAATAAATCTATTAATCATATTAAATTTTTTAAAAAGTCTTAAAAAAGTGCAGAAATTTGTATTATATAAGATAACCAATCAATTAAATCATCAAAATATTGATTTAATATTAAAAAATTAATTAATTTAAAAATAATAACAGAATAATTGTATGATGTAAAAAATATCTGCAGTTTATTTATATATTAAACAATTAGTTTTAATTTAATTGGATTGAAAATATTGCATAAACCCAATATTCATGCATCTATTTTCATGATAACATTACATTAATTAATAAATGATTTTATATGTTTAAAAAGCATATTATCATTCTTTAATGTTTTCAAAATTAATAATTCATCCTAAAATTAGTACAAAAATCGAAAACTTTGTTATTTACGTTAAGCAGAAATATATGAAAATTTTGTAATTGAAATTTCTGAGTTAATCTTTCAAGACAATCATCTGAAAAAATAAAAAAATTTAAAAACTATAATATTTAAAAAAAATGTATAGCATGATTACTGAAGTATTATTCAGATTTGGTTTCTTTCAAATGACATAATAACTGATAGATATTCTAAAATTTTAAATTAAATGAAATGCTATTTATGCATTTCAATTCTGCATCATAAAAATGAAAAATTTGCATGAAAAATTATTTAATATAAATTAAGAATATTAAAGATTATTGAATTAAATAATTTTAAAATATTTGAATAAATTTATTAAGTTAGTAAAAATAATGTTAAACATGCAATTAAATAATTATATCAATGATATTAATACATAAATTTTGATATAAATGGAATGCTTAGTTAATTGATCAAAGCCAAATCAAAAGCATCAAGATAATTTTTTTTGTTTGATAGCATAGACAAGCTCACCATCAGTAGCAGAAATTTTGTGGTTTGCTTCAGTTCGGTCAATAATAGCTTCTTCTTTGTTGATTTCTTCAGTATCTGCCATACCATGTGGCAGATCTGAGGAACCAGCTGGAGCAGATAAACAAACTACAGTGTCTATCGATGGAGTTTCACAAGCAGATGACACAGGTGGCGGATCAGAAATGGAATTAGAAACAAGTGATGTTTTGTTAAAAGCTGAGATAGTTGGATTAATGGAAAGATCAGAAAAAAGTGAAGAGTTAGGAGTGGAAAAATTGGAATAATCATTCATGCTATGATTTAGTTTAGAGACAGTTTGAGAAGAATGAGAAATATCTTCTTGATCGGAAAATTTAGTGCTGCATTCTTGTTTATTATCTATTTTATATGTAGTTTGAAATTTTTGAAGTTCTTCAGAAGGTGCAGAAGTATGTGTCGAATCTGGTAATATCACCCTGGTTTCCACTAGAGTATTTATTTAATTTGTAAGTAGAAAAATAAATAAAACATGCATAAGAAAACATGCAAAAATAAGGATAAAATAAAATATTAGAACTTAAATAAATAGATTAAGCAAAAGAAAATTTAAAACAAATGTTAATTATTATTATTATTATATAATAAAAATATTAGCAAGTTTATTATAAATAAAAAATTAGTTATAATTTATTTTATTGTATTATAATATATTTTCAGAATAAACTAATGAAACATATAGATAATATAATTATAAAAAAATTAATGTTTATTTTTAATTTTCAGTAAAAAGTTCATTAAACATTCACTTATAAATTTTACACATTTTTAACAATTTTTGCAAATTACATTGAATAATAAGCACAGTACTATTCAAATTTTTCTATAGATTTAACACTGAAATTTAGATCCAATAGTTTTTTCATAGTGGTAAATGAAAAATTGATAATTTTATCAATTCAGTTTTAAATTGAAATTTTATACAAAAAATGTAGAATTCAAGTTCTAATTTCAACCAGCTAAAGTAGCAATTAATTTCATTTACAAAGTATTTATAAAGGTCTAATAAAAATTTCTCTTAGCTGTCATTCATTTGCCATTCCAGTAAACAGAAAATTTTGTTTGTATTATTGTTACATTTTTTACTTTTATATTATTAATTTTGTTTATTTTTATAAATGTATATTCATTTTATTTTATTACAATAAAAAAGCTTGGTTCAGTATGATTATAAAGTATAATCTGTAATTAAAAAAAATGTAAGTTCAAAAACATTCTTCATGTTTGTTCTAACAGTTTGAATTACTGGTTCTGGGACAATTTTGATTCTAGTAATTGAATTCACAAATTCAAAAGAAAATTTACAAAAGATATGAAATATAAATCTCTATTAAACACACTTAGAAATAAAACACCTTAATTTGTTGCTGAGAAATATATAATTGAAAAACAAACGTTTTCAGCCCGATTAACAGGCCATCATCAGGTCAAAAACGAAAATGGAACAGATAATTTGACCTGATGATGGCCTGTTAAATCGAGCTGAAAACATTTGTTTTTCAATTATATATTTCTCAGCAACAAATTAAGGTGATTTATTTCTACGTGTTTATTTGCTGAGCACTTTTAATGTTATTAAACACACGGTCAAATTTAATGTTTATAAAAATTTTACTATATCTATACAAATTAAATATACTGGCATAAAAATTCTAATCTGTTTCTACTACAAACATAAGAAATGTAAAGAAATAACAACATACTATATAAATGAGATAGAAAAAGTTTCAAAGCTTGTCTCAAAGAGATCATTGACACACATTATGTACTTCATTTCTGTCACACTTTCATGATTCATTTAGCAAATCATTTTAAATATTGTAATAATGAAATTCAATATTTAAAAAATTTCTTTAAACAAAATAAATTTTATTTCTAGTCTTCATTTTTAATTTTTTTTTCTAAACTGTATTTTTTTATTTTCATTTTAGCTCCCTGTTATCCATAAAGATGTCAAAAAGAAAATATAAAAAGATTTTGATATTAATATATAATAATTATAATAATAATTATTATTTTTAAATAAAACTATATTCCATAAAATTGAATTAATTAAGAATGCTATATATACAAAACTTTGTATAATTAGAATTTTAATTAGCATAATTTGTATAAGCAATCAATTTCTTATTTTATTGAAATTGCACTATAGATATTAAATTTAAAATAAGAAATTAATTTCTTAATATATTAAAATGCTTTATTTACATGTTTCTTTAGTTTATTCAAAAACTTTTATATAAATATTTCTGAAAATTTTTATTGAGTTACTATTTTAAATCATAAATATACTAAAATAACTTAATAAGAGAGAAAAATTGATTATCTACAAGTGATTTATATAATTAGATTTTCATTAAGTTAATAATGAAGATTTAGTTATTTTATTATTATTATTATTATTATTATTATTATTTTTAAAATTAATTGTTAATAAATTATATAGCATATTTTATATCATACAACATACTCCTCTTCCATTAGTCAAGAAAATTAAATAATCAAATTTTATAAAAAATTGTCTGTTTTATATTCTTTATTTAAATACTTTTAAAATATTTATAACCCCATTTTGTAACAATTTGTAATTTCATTTTTATTATTAACCTTTGATTTTATAAACCTCTGAACTTTTTAAATTACAAGATCAGACTATTACTACTCCGGATGGAAATAGTTATGATCTTTATCACAGCTACTGCTACAAAAAGTCAATGTAGTTAAAAAAAGTGAAATAACTAATTAAAAGAAAATTATTATAAAAATAAATAAAAGTAGCTGTAAGGTATTTATACAAAAATTTTTAAACAAGAAATGAATATTTATATTAAATATGACATCAGCAAAACTTTTTATTTTGTATAAATTTTAGTTTTAAATTAATAATCCTTCACTATCCTATTAATTATAAACTAATAAGCCCTTCAGTGTTTTTGGAGTCTAAAATGATCTAAGTTTATATATTTGTACTGTACAAACATTATAATTCAGCAGTAGATTTTTAACCATATATTTAACCATTAAATGTAAATTTATATTTATATTAATGATCAAATATTTGTTGTTCTACTATATGACATTTGTTTTTAAATAATTTTGTTCTAGAATCTGGTGGCCATTTAAGATAGCTAACAATGTTTATTTGTTATAAATATACTACTGAAATTTAAGGTTTCCATTTTAAACTATTTATTTTCATCCAGTTTATTTGTTTTTCTGTTGACATATTCTCTGTTGTTATAATTGAGTCTATTGCAATGTAAATTTAGATTGATCCTATATTACCATAATTTTGTGCATGTAATCCACATAGTAGTATATGCCTTGTAAAAAATTAGTAGAACAGAAACAAAACCTTCTCATATCCTGTCCAATGTATATCCTACAATGCTACAGTGCAGTTAAAAATATAATTATCAGTGCAATCATCTCATTCCCTCTCCTATTTCTTTTGTTTATTTCTATTAACAGTTTCATTATACATGCAAATATAAAATAAATGAAATATATGAAGATAATATTTAAGACAAAGCTACCTGAAGTGCATTAAGTGCAAAAATAGAAAAATGGTTGCTGAACAATTAATAATAATTATAGTAAATATTAAAATAAACTAAAAAAACTAAATATAAAAAATTTTAATGACAATGACATCCATTAACCTAGATTCGAGAGTTGATGAACTTTTATTCACTACAGAGAATTAAAATAGGAGAAAATCAACAGTTGTGTTATAAAAATAAACTTCTAAATAGTTCTCTAAGAATTATTATATATTTATTTATATTTTTTTAATGTTTTTTATTTACAAATGCTAAGGCGATGTCCCTATAGGCAAAATTTGTCACCCCCAAAATAAAAAAATAACAAAGTCCTCTAAAAACAACAAATAAAATTACAGAATTTTGTTCTAATAACTAAGTTAAGAAAAATAGCAAATTCTTTTACAAAACACTTTAATGAAATCAATGTAAAGTTTATCTTTAATTATATTAGTAACTTTATAATGACAATAGAAAAAGGATTTGGCGGAAATGGCAAGACAGCAAAAAGGAACAGAAATATAGGTAGCCTTGTATTGACTGAAGTATCAATAATATGTAAATTGATGTAGCCTATCAAAAATTTATCAGCTTTCAGGATAGAAGTTTAAGTTCAAATAGGAATGCTTAGTAATATCAATTAATGCACAGAAAACAAACAGGTAAAAACTAAATGCAAAACATACAGTGCAACTGATAGTTTATGAAAAAATCATGATAACAGATGAATATGTCTGTGGTGTACAAAGGATTTTTCAAAATTTATAAAGATGTTCTTGGTAAGCTTAGGCAAAAAGAAAAGCTGTGTTATGAACTTGTAATTACAAATTAAAATCAGCAGATAATCCAAATCATTGCACAATCCATAAGTGCTTTGAAACTTATGTTTATAAATGTATAATCTATGAGTTATCTGCACAGAATTATGGTAATTCAATTATTTTTTCACAAAAAGTGTATTGAACAAAGATAGTTTGGATTTTTTACAGTAAAATTTTCTTTATTTCTCTGAGCTTATTCTTAGGGCTGCATTTAAGTTAATTTATGTATGAATCATCATTTCTAGTGTCATTCAAAGGAATTCAAGCTGAAAAGATTCTCTCAGAGAGCATAATAGTCAGATCTTAAAATTTGAAAAAGTTTGAATATTTATTAAGTTAGACTGTAACTACAAAATAGTCCTGTTACTAGATTTGTAATATGCATATCATCAAGTTTCAGTCAACATTACACCATCAAAGAATCTGCAGTAATAATCTCTCTTGAACATTTAAAATTTCCATTTATGTTTCTTGAATTAAG